TATATATATATATATATAAGAATAAAATAAAAATAAATAAAATAAATAATATAAAAATAAATAAATAAAAATTATTTTAAAAAAAAGATAAATAAATAAATGAATAATAATAAAAAATAAAAATAAATAAATACAAATATTTAAATAAACGAATGAATAAAAAATAAATAAATAAACAAACAAAACTAAAACAAATAATAAATAAATAAAACTAAAAAGAAACAAACAAACAAATAAAAACAAATTATTAACATAAATTAACGGAAAATTATTGCAAATTGAGACTTTATTTTACATTAGGTTTGCACTTTCTTTCTGTGCTTGAATGTTAAAATGACCCTTCTATGATTTTTTTAGCCACAGCAATGATTGACAACTTGAGTTTAAGACCCCTGAAATACCACAATCGCACACACACACGCACGCACGCACGCACGCACGCACGCACGCACGCACGCACGCACACACGCACACACGCACACACACACACACACACACACACACACACACACACACACACACACACACACACACACACACACACAACATATACAATAGTCACTAATTACTTTAGTTAAATAGTAACTGATAATGTAGCTTTTTTAACAGTTAAAGTTATTATACAGCAGGGAAAATAAGTATTGAACACGTCACCATTTATCTCAGAAAACATATTTCTAAAGGTGTCGTTGACTTGATATTTTCACTAGATGTTGGTAACAACCAAAGAAATCCATATATACAAAGAAAACTAAACTAATTAGTTTACAAATGAAGTAATGTGTAATAAAATGAAATGATGCAGGAAAAAGATATTGAACACATGAAGAAAGGGAGGTGTAGAAAGGTGTAGTGAAAGCCCAGACAGCAGCTTAAATCTCTCAGTAGTTCTTCAGCAACCCTCTGGCCCTCCTCAGTGTAAATGAATATCAGCTGCTTCAGTCCAACATCTACATTAGCAGGAGGATGAAGATGAAACCAGGGTGGACATTTCAGCAAGACAATGATCCAAAACACAGCCAAGGAGACTCTCAGATGCTTTCAGAGAAACAAAATCAAGCTGTAGAATGGCCCAGCCAATCACCTGACTCCAATCCAATTGAAAACACAAAATAAAGATCAGATTTGATAGACGAGACCCACAGGAGCATCAAGATTTTGACACTCAAGTCTGGGTAAAACTGACACCTGAGAAATGCATAAGGCTTCATTCTCTATATGAGAGGCGTCTTTAAGCTGCAACACCAAAACAGCCTTTAATATAAAGTGTTAAACACATTTCAGTAGTTCAGCAGTTTCTCTTTCTGTCATTTCATTGTTATTACACACAACTCGGATCCAGATTTGTTTGTTTTGTTTTATTTGTATGTTTGTATTGTTTGGGTTTTTACCAAAATCTTCTTAAGTTCCGTGTCAAAAGCTCCTTCAGGAATATTATTCCCAGGAAAAAACATGACGTGTTCAATACTTATTTTCCCCACTGTTAACCTGCAGCTATATAGTATATAGGAAATGTCTATGTGTACATGTTCAATGAAGTTTTCTTTCCATCTCTCTGTTTCAATCACCTGTTTGCTGAAGTGGTGAAGGCTCAGGCTGAGGTTATTCCTGGATCCGCAGGCCGGAGGTGTAGGAGAGGAACACACAGACGGTGTTTTTGCTGTAGGGCTAGAAGCGGCTTGTTTAGGAGGTGATGGCTGCAGGTCAGTGTTTGAGTCTTTATGGGACGGGGTGTCTCTGTGTCTCGTCACTAGAGCCAGTGGTTTAGCACTGACTGCTAACCCTGTGGGCTGAATGACACTGGTGTGTTTGCTTGACTCTTCTGTGGGTCTGAAGGCCTGGATGTGTTTCGACAGCTTTAATGAACTCTGAAGATCCTGTGTTTGCTTCCCTAAAGTGTGGTAGTTCTGCTTCCTGTCTGTGTGCATTTCATCCTGGGCAAGCAAAATATATACTGTTTTATTAAAAAAATAAAATAATAATAACAATAATAATAATACATATATATACACACACACACACACACACACACACACACACACACACACACACACACACACACACACACACACACACACACACACACACACACACACACACACACACACATACATACATACATACATACATACATATATATATATATATATATATATATATATATATATATATACACACACACACACACACACACACACACACACATATACACACACATATATACATATTATACACACACAACAGTTCTGTCTGGTTTTTGAATCTGATTGGCTGATAGCTGTGTGACATTCTGCGATATCATCAGGGATGCTCATTTTAGCTAATGTTGCTAAGCGACAACCGCCACTCGTTAATTGGATATTAACGGTTAACTGGTCAAATTAATGTAAAATTAAAAAAAAAAAATATTTCCGTGTCTATTTTGTGTCTGACACATTAAATATTGCATTTTAAAATACTGATTTCTTTTAACATGCTCTTCTTTTAACATATTAATAACAGAAAATAACAAAACAGCATCACGCACCTGCAGTGTTTCCAATAGCATAGAAAAACAGAATGAACTAAATAAAATGAATAAAATAAATTGGCCTTCCCTAAATTATTTTCACTTAATTGATTAATTTAGATTACAGAATGATAACACTGACTGAAGCTTTTTTAAGAACCGGCATAGGCTGTTTTTTTCCAATCATATGTTTTTATTCTTCCGTCAAATAAAAATAGCAGACTTCCTCAAATTGCTCGCTCCACGGAAAATATGCATTTATTTAATGCCCCGCTGTTATTTTTATATCACAAAACCATTTTACATTTTTAATAGAAATCATTATTTTTAAGAATATGGGCCCTATAATAAACCCGCAATGGGGCGCGAGGCGCAGCGCAATACTTGTTTGGTAGTTTCAGCTTGACGCAAGAGTCGTTTTGAGGCGTTGCGCCACGCTGTTTAATTAGCAAATGCATTTGCGCTCATATGTGCGCCCATAGGCGTTCTGGTCTAAAAAGGGTGGCGTTCTGAGGCGCACTGCTGGCGCGTTGCTATTTTAAGAAACTATAATAGATTTATCATTAGACCAAAACAAACCCGGTCGAAAGTCCAGCGCAGAGTTGCGCCTCGCTTACACACTGCTTAATAGCCTACACACAAGATGTAGAGCAATAGGCAAATATCTTTACATATAAAAAAATTCAAATATTAAGAATAGGGCTATATTTAAAGGATTAAAATATTACAAAACATATTATTTTCTAGCCTACATAAATTTAAAAACCACTGTTTTTTAACTTCTTCACCTCGCGAGGCTTTATCATTTCATTAATGACAATTAACTTTTGTATAATGTTATTATTATTAGCAGTATTATTAATTATATCCATATTTATAATTTTTTTTATTAAAAACAAGCTTAGATTTGCCCACCTGCAGGTTTTAGACCATATGGGGCACAGCATGTGTTTTAGGATATAACTCAGGTTTTTGAGCACACTTCGTTATTATTGTTCATTTATTTGTTTGCTGGAAATTAGAACTGAATTTAGAAATAGTTTTGAAACGAATATTTGCGCTTAACAAACAAAATTATTTATTAATAGGCTAATTGATGTCTGTGCGTAAAGGTTTCCCTATCCAAGAGCGAAAGTGAAAGTAGTTCCATTATCTCTCATTTTCACTCAGTAGATGCTCTGTTTAACTGTTTTATGTAAAAAAAAAAAAAAAAAAAAAAAAAAAAAAACTGTTAACTGTTTGCTTGTGAAATGCTCAGTTTTTCCACTTCCACTTACTTTACGTCATGTAAATAGCAAATGCGCTTATGGCGCGACGCAGCTGGCTCTTAAAGGTAATGGGAGACGAGACTCTGATTGGTTTATTCTCAAAACACACCTATAACTCATTAAGAAAATAAACTCAACCCTTTTAGACCATGCGCCACGGCACAAAGTGGATTTTCCCATCCTAAATTAGCAAATATGGATTCTGTCACACCCTGAAAGTGTTTGGGCCCTGCACTTTGCCATTTTGCGCATTGACCGTCAAAATAGAGCCCTATGTCTTGATATGTGGTTTCCTCTCTCACTCGCGGTTCAAATGCGCGCGCTGCGTAATGAAAAGACAATGACAACGCGCGCATATGTTGACTTTTTGTAAACAGTTTTGTTGTTTAAATATGATATTGTATTAATGTGCATACATGCTTTATAAGCTGTAAAATGAAAGCTAAAGCCTATTTGTTGTGCTTATGACGCAGACCCAGGAGGCCATCAGCATCAGCGCTGGTTTGGCATCAACTCGTCTGAATCAAACAGCAATATTCTTCTTCCATTTTGCTTCTTTTGCAAATATGTCTGTAGGCACATGTGGTCATACGTTATCGTCCCACGAGTTAACAAATGTGAGTTGCAATTGCACATTAAGGGGCCGATCACAGCAAACGCGCTTTCCCATTTCAGAAAGGTGAGGCGCACACACTGACTTTTATGCCTCTTTTTTATGTCACTAGAAAATGACTGAATCAGCTGGGTATTGATCGTGCAAGAGTGTTGCTGTCTATGTTGTTACAATTGTAACATTCAAGATTTGTAATTTCATACATCTCTGGATAACTTGAAACAGCGAGCACTAGTCTCTCCTACATCTCCTACAAGTTCTCAGTAGTTGTCTTGACGACACACACACTGCTGCTCTAAGATGAGCCGTGTGCAAAACACTTGCGGCTTTTAGTAAACTATTCAAAAGATGCCCCTCTTAACGCAAAAAAGTGCAATCAATCGGTCCCTTATGCAGCCAAACTCTAAAAATATATAAAATATTATTTTTTAATCTTTTAACTGATACCATTAATCGGTTACAAACGCACCCTTTCGGTGTAATAATAATCATCACTAATCAGAACTCATACAGCCTCTTCACCCTTGTGTATTACTCTGCCCATTTACTGTAGAGTGACAGCAGATCAATAAACTCACTACAGTTTGACAAATATTCCTGCTGTTGGGCAACATAATGTACTTTTGAGGCTTTTTTAGTCGAGAATGTAGTTGTTTAGATTGCAACTATGCAGTTTATTAAGAAGGATAGTGCTTATATTAAATATAATTTTGGAGCATTGGCGGCCATCAGCCTGTCATACTGAGCAGAGCAAAGACGGTTAATATGTGTAGACTGATGGCACTTCATGCCCTTCAGCCTTATAGTCTTAAACTGTGAGCAAATCTCCTGTTTTGTCATCACTTTAGACATTACGCTAGAGAATCATTCAAACACTAGCTCTAAAATGACTTTTGTGCTTCTGCTGTTCTGACGTCAGCTGCAGATGTGAATGAATGGCGGAAGAAAGTAGTTCCTCATGTAAAAGGGTTTTTGAGACTCCTTGTTTGATTTTCTTTTTTATATACATGATTATACCGTTCAACTGATGTATAAATGCAATATAACACTCGTAGCAGTGTGAAATGGCTGTATATCATCACTGGTGGGACACTAAGGGTGCTTTCACACTTGGTTCATTTGCCTGGACCGTACCCAAGTTCGATTGTTTCCCCTTGCCACCTCCTCGGTTGGTTTGTGTTCACACTGTCTTTTTTCCTTCTGAACCCCGGTACGCTTACGTCATCGAGCTGCTGTTTTGTTTATGGCCGTTGCTAGGTGATGGTCACGAAAGCAAGCACCGAAATGGAAAGACGTCCGCACATCGCGGTCATTCTGCTTTAACTGAAGCTTTTGGTTTTGGACATACAGAAAGCGACTCAAGCAGACATTTTCACTGTGTATCACTGTGTTTGCCCTGGCTCAGTCCCGCACGTGTTACCAAGGTACGAAACGTGACACAGTCACACACAAACACAAACTAACGTTATGAAAACAATAGCTCGTTTTACAGTTGGCGGTTTACTTCCGTTGTTTGGTACGATTGCATTCACATAAGAAGTGATCATACCAGAGTTCGCATTATCCGTACTCCAGACCACCTCTTTCAGGCGGACTCAGGTATTGTTCACGGGTGCGCACTCGAGTTTAGAAGACACGTTCACACTAGCTTAACGTACCATACTATAGTCAAAAAAATGAACCCGGGTGCGGTCCAAAAGTGCTAGTGTGAAAGCACCCTAAAACACTTGGACTGTGGCCTCGTGCCAACGCACGTCTCCCACCAGTGCCGATATACAGTCATATCACATTGCTATTCATGTGATATTGCATTTATACAACAAATAATAGTGGATGTAATAAAATCATATAAATGTTTAATACACATTTACAAACGTTGTTCACCATTGCGTTTAAAATAGATTATTAATATCTTGGCATTTTTTGTTGTAAACTACATGGTTTTCTTTAATGTGGCTCATTAATATTCAAGTGTTGCTTTAAAGGTTACTTGAACACCATTAATGTGTTTTAAATGATTTTTATTAAATTAATATCATTAAACTTCTAATATATTTTCAGATTTTATTATACAGTAATTTTATGATATTTAATTCTATTTGTAATATACTGGAAACACTTTCCAAAAGGGTTCATTTAGTTTACACAACCTATAGCTCCATGTTGCAATAAGCAAAACACTTTGTACAGTATTTATTATGTTTTGTTAATATTTGTAAATAAAAATATTGTTTAACATTATTTCATGCTAGTTCATTGCACCTTTCATTACAAGTTAAATATTAATAATAATAAAAATAATGATGATGATGATGATGATGATAATCGTGATAATAAGGATAATAATAAGGATGATAATAATATAAAATGATTCTGACTTTAATAATGATTAATTATTATTTGTTTTGATAGTATTATTTCATTGGAAGTTTTTGGGAACTAAATCTTAACAAATGAAACTTTAATATAAACTGATGACCTGCTTTTTTAGTACTTTATTTTTAACAGCTTTAGGTTCTAATTTGCATTCATATTTTATTTAGTTTTTAGTTTAGTTTTGGCTAATAAAACAAAACCACACATACCTTGCGGATAGCTTTCTGCTCTTTTCCACACTTTTCAGAGTCCACACTGTCATCACTCTGATCATCATCTTCCTCATCATCATCATCTTCATCCTCCAGGTCATCAGAGTCTGAACTGCTGAGGGCATCAGTGGAGATGTCAGAGCTGGAAGCTGATTGGCTGTCGCTGTTGATGGAGACGCCTGACGATTTACTGCACAGCTTCTGCCAGGAAGAGCAGAGTTAAGGTTATTGCACACTAAATTACAATTTTTGTACGGAATTTTCACGTTAAAAAACAAATTCACACAGCCTGCAAAACTTTTGTCCATCATTAAAAAAATCAAATCAAGTTTGGTTTTTCAGTATTAAGTAAACTTTACATTTTGGAATAATTCAGCAGAGATCTTTAAAGGTTCAGGACATCCTGGAGAACTTTTTTTTTTATATTAACAGATTTGTGTGTGTTGAGCATCAGTTAAGGCAATGTTAGCACCTGTCAGCTTTAATTGTGGGGAAAACTGGATCATTTTGAGCTTTTGTCAGGTAATTTCAGCTTCCGGGTTTAAAATGATTTTTGGGGCGGGATCAAAATCAGCGACGTAGCACAGTACTGCAAGTGCAATGATGACGCGTCGGTTTCTCATTATTATTCATAGCAGAGTTTTCTTATCCTATGAGAAGAGCCGGCTGCTTAATTATTCATGAGACCTGCCAGACCTGCCAGAGTCAAGCCCGAGCTGTGAGACACGGACCCACGGCACACAGTATTTAGCCGTTCATGAAGGCTCATATGCGTTTGTTTCCATGATCCACGGGGTTTGTTGCATGTTGTCCCCCGCGATCTTGTCAGGGCCGATCATACAGCAAAGCTGTGTGTGTGCTGCAAGCATTTCTGTCGGGAGAGCAGCACGAGAATTGGAGCATGGCGGACGCTGTCTTTTATCAGGAGTTCGTTCACATTCAGACACATCACCGTGCTGCTGTGTTCGCCTAAATCCTCCAGATTACCAGCAGGGCTAATGGTTAAAATAGACAGGTCAGGAGACCTGCTGCACTGAGTCTGCTGGATACGGGGATTGAGGGAGAAGTCCTCATTTATAGTGTTTACATGAACACACTTATCTTTATAATGATATAAATTGTGGTTATGTGTATATGAAATTACAAATAACAAATGTAGCAGGGCATTAAATCACTGTTCATTTCTTTGCATTTTAACTTTGTGAACTATAAACTCATGCGTCTCCTCACAGTTTGTGTCTCACGGATTTTGTGAGCTAACTGACAACAACAGTTGTTCGCTCACCTTCTCCCCTGCTGGCCACGCCCACTCCTGCCCGATGCTTGCGGAGCTCCACGCCCATTAATCATGCATGTTTTGAAAAAATTCTGAAGTAGACTTTAACCGAAAGTGGGGGGTGTCATGGCCCTTTAAGGAGACCTCTCCTTCCTCTCTATGCAGTTTTCGATGAACACACTATGTAGCCTATTCCTCTTTCCTTTTCAACTTTGGAGAAGAGACAGGAGAACAAAGCATCATTGCCATCATCGGACCCAGTGTGCAAAGTTTGTGTACATGACAATTTTTTTTCAGACCTTTAACATGTCTCTAAAACAGATACAAGACAAAAAAAAAAATTAACTCACCTATTAAAGATGTAACAAATTTTCTCAAAACAGCAAATAAATAACAATAAAAATAACAAAACAGACCTATTGACCTTATTCTCCGCAGACGAGCGGGCGCAGCCATTTGAATCTTTTTGGCACGAGACTTCCGGTCTCATTCACTTCCATTCATTTTTAGACATTAAAAACTGCTCGTTTCGCTGTTTGATGTTGCAAACTGATATTTCCTTGTTATATTATTCTACTTGGTCTGTGTAGTCATGCAAACATTTGTTTGTAGAGCAAGTAGTTTGACCGTTTTTTGCCGTTTATTATTCCTTGTCATTTCTCCCATAGGCGACTGAAACGGAAGTTCTAAGACAATCGCGAAAACAGGCGCACTTCCGCATTTTAGAATAAGGTCAATAGTAAAACAAATAAATAGATTACTGTGTGTGAGAGCAAGGAAAGTTAAACTCAAGTAAGGCTCTGATGTAAGTAAAAATGCTGAGGCAATGCGCTCATGCCGTCCATGTGATTTTAGACATCCATACATGCCTACATCAAAAATTTACTGAAGAAATGATTAACAAATACCTTTTTGTCTTTTGTTGTGTGTTTGGTTTTGTCCTCTTGCTGGTGGAGTGCTGGTTTTGAGCTGGTTTTCTTACTCTGATCTGGAGAAGGTGTGGAGGAGGTCGAGCTCCAGTTTGCTTTTCCATTGGTATTCAGCCCTGCTCCACAAAATATCAACCATCAAACATGTATGTTTTCAGTTACATATGTTTGCATCAATTTAGAGATTTAAATAATAATTTTGTCATTTTAATCAGTGGCAGGAACGGGCTTTCATTAATATAATATACACTATTGTCATAAATGAAATGTTTATAACTAGACTCCAGCTATTTTCAGATGAAATATAAAAGCAATGTTTCTTCATCAGTATTTATGCAAAATGCATCTTCTGAAATAGGATTTTCTATAGTATAATGTGGATCTTCTGTCATGTTTGCAGCACAATAAACACAAACACATCATGCATATGAGTGGTATCTGATGAACCTTTGTTAGGGGACTGTCTGGCGGTGGGAGACTGGAGGAGGGTCTGCTCCTGGTTCAGAGACGGTGTTGTAAATAACGCTGGTAAACCCAGAAGATGAGGAAAAAAGGCTGCTGATCCCTGAACATCTGCTGAACGCCACCAATCTGAACAAGCAGACCAACATATGAAGTTAGCATTACATAAGACTCAAACCTCTTCTTATGTAAAGGCTCACACAAGATTCAGATTTTTAACTTTTTCTCTTTTTTTTATGATCTTTAAAATAAAGATTTTTTCAAGGAGACCTATTTTTTAAGGTGTGAAACAAGTCTCTGACACTTTTAGAGTGTGAGTGTGAAGTTTTGGCTCAAAATACCACACAAATAATACTTTATAACTCTCTGAATCTGACACTTTTAGACTTTGATCCAAATTGTGGTGTTTTGGTGACTCACTTTGAATTCATATGAGATTGTTTCGAAAGAGGGCGGAGCTAGCAACATCTCTGCATCGGCAGAATCAAAACATTATCCGTGTGAAACTGAAATGTGTGTGTCAGTGTGTGAGAATGCATCAGTCTATAGAGACTCCTGTCACTGTTCATTTGTGCTTCATTTAAAACTCCACATTTATAAGCCTCTTAGTCTGAGCTGACATTATCTTCAGCCATGGCGGACGACTGCTTCTCAATCAGGGCTGTTTATGCAAATGAGGTAGAGATGGTCACTAGTGGGCGGGGCTTTCCCGCCCACTTTCTCTGATGACATGTATTTAGAGAGAATGTCAATCAAAGTGTTTCTGCAGACTGTTTTTATCAAGTGTGACTAAATAAAATAGAGTTAATACATTTTTACCATTAAAGGTTGGCTATATTCACACACTGTTGCCACACAGCCACTTATTAAAGTGATCTTTCAGCTTAGCATATGTAAAATAAAATAACATGCTTATTCTGATCTGTACTTGTAATATTCATTTATTCAATCATTCATTTTCTTTTCGGCCTCAGTCCCTTTATTAAACAGTGGTCGCCACAGCAGAATGAACTGCCAACTTATCCAGCATATGTTTTACGCAGCGGTTACCTTTTCAGCCCGACCCAGCACTAGGAAACACTCACACTCTTGCACACACTCACATACACCATGGTCAATTTAGCTCACTCAATTCACCTAAAGCGCATGTGTTTGAACTGTAGGGGAAACCGGAACACCCAGAGGAAACCCACACCAACACAGAGAGAACATGCAAACTCCACACAAAAAATGCTCACCCAAAAAGGGCTCAAACCAGAAATCTTCTTGCTGTGAGGCGATTGTGCTCACTGCGCCACCCTGCTGCTCCTCTACTTGACTTATTTTTATTATAATTAATTTTAATTGTAACTTTTTTTTATTTTAATTTACTTTATAAAAGCCTATAAAAACAAAAGAAGGAAAGCATGTGCTGCAAATAAACAGCATCATTTGTATAAAACAATAAAACTTTGGGTCTATTTAAGTGTTTGTTCTTTTGCTTTTCTGTGTGTCCTGAAGCGTTGTTTACTGTCTGTGAGAAGCTGAAGCTGAAGCTCTGACCCAAAGCGTTCAGGTCTTCATAAATGTCAGAAATGCTGGACTGATGGAAAGCTCTATAAAGGTGAAACATGCTGACCATGCACCAAAACCAGCCCGGCTCATAGTTCTTTCAACCCCATCAAAGATTGCGGTACTATTTTAGGGATGTTTCCTTCATCCCTTTCCTTCAAAATTCATAATGCGTCCAGATCCTTCGAGTCAAAAGCATGATATTAAAAAAAAAAGAATCAGTGGGAAAACCCCAAGAGGTAATTCCCATTATATACGTTTTGTTTGTTTTTTGCAATTGCCAATATTCTCTATAGTGATTCTGACAATATTTATAATTCAAGAGTTCCCACTTAGATATGCTTGGCACTTATAGCAGGTTTGGCATGCTGGCCCAGGGAGAGAACCCTGAGCTCTGAGATATTTGAGCCCAGGGCTCCCGCCCGGTCTAGAAGCATATCAGGAGAACCGAGATCAGGTAGGTCTTGATCGCTCCCCCTTTAAAAGGGGAGAAAATGGAGGAGATGGGGTGGAAGGGGGGATTCTTCCAAAACGAAGATAGAGCAATAAGGAGAAAGTGATCCATTTATATTAAGCTAGGATCATTCTGATTGGATTATTACTGATTACGGATGAGTGGCCAGCGGTGCACAATCATATCAAATGCGCCTCTCGAAATTAGTTTATGAAACTTCACTTGTGTACTTGCATGTCTTTAAATTACATCTTACTATTTTGTTCTTTCACAAAAATATTTAATACGTTGGGCGTCACGTTGACGGAGTGGGTAGCATGATCGCCTCAGAGCAAGAAGAACGCTGGTTCGAGCCTCGGCTGACTCAGTTGGCATTACTGGCATTAACAAGACTAAAAGAAGAATGGCCAGGCTGGTTCCAGCTGATAGAAAGGCAACAGTCACACAAATAACCACTTGCTACAACCGAGGTCTGCAGAAGTGCGTCTCTGAACACACAACACGTCCAACCTTGAAGCGGATGGGCTACAGCAGCAGAAGACCATACCGGGTGCCGCTCCTGTCAGCTAACAACAGGAAACTGAGGCTACAATTCACACAGACTCACCAAAACTATAGATAGAAGATAGAAGAAACGTTGCCTGCTCTGATGAGTCTCCATTTCTGCTGCAACATTCGGATGGTCGGGTCAGAATTTGGTGTCAACAACAAGAAAGCATGGATCCATCCTGCCTTGTATCAACTTTTCAGGCTGGTGGTGTAATGGTGTGGGGGATATTTTCTTGGCCACTTTGGGCTCATTAGTACCAATTAAGCATTGTGTCAACACCGCAGTCTACCTGAGTATTGCTGCTGGCCATGTCCATCCCTTTGTGACAACAGTGTACCAATCTTCTGATGGCTACTTCCAGCAGGATAACGCACCATTTCATAAAGCGTGAATCATCTTAGACTGGCTTCATGAACATGATAATGAGTTCATAACGTCCATGAGTCCATCATACCTGGTAAAGCTGTAAGTTGAGCACGAGCGGCAGACATTCCCAGTGTTCCCAGACCTCCAAACTCTGAGCGCAGCGGAGAAGAGGAGTACAGACTGAAGACAGGATGACTGATCAGAGGAAACACTCCAGAAACACCCACACCCTGAGTGCTGACCATCCCAAACAAATGACCTGCAGAGAGAACAACAACAAACACATCATGCATGTGTACATAAAGCTGGATAGAGAAATGATCAGATTATTCACAGTATGTTCATCAAAACTGATATTTCAGGTACTTTAGAAACAGAAAACATATTAGAAACTAACATTCACACATTCATGACATTTTACAACATGCTCACAATTTATCAATTTTCCCCCTTTTTTAAAAGTAAATACATTCAATACATAAAGTTGGGAGTCAGAATTATTAGCCCCCCTGAATTATTCGCCCCTGTTTATTTTTTCCCCAATTTCTGTTCTGTTCTGTCATAATAGTTTTAATAACTCATTTCTTATTTTATCTTTGCCATGATGACAGTAAATAATATTTGACTAGATATTTTTCAAGACACTTCCATACAGCTTAAAGTGACATTTAAAGGTTTAACTAGGTTAATTAGGGTAATTAGGTAGGTTAGGGTATTTAGGCAAGTTATTGTATAACTATGGTTTGTTCTGTAGATTATCAAAAAAATCTAGCTAAAAGGGGTAAATTATTTTGTCCTTAAAAATTGTGCTTAAAAAATTTAAAACATCTTTTATTGTAGCTGAAATAAAACAAATAATACTTATTCCAGAAGAAAAAATATTAAAAGACATACTGTGAAAATTAAAAAAACATTTAAAAAACATAAAAAATAAATAAATAAAAAAAATCAAAGGTGGGCTAATAATTCTGATTCAACTGTATGTACAACTACAACAACATTAATTACAACAACAATTATTATTACAATATTATTTATTATCATTTTATTGAAAATTACAATTACAATCAATATTATTATCAAAAAAAACTATGATATTGTTAATAATAATACTTTAAATAATAATAATATAATGATGCAATAATAATAATAATAATAATAATAATAATAATAATAATAATAATATTGTTATTATTATATTATTTATTATTATTTTATTTTAAATTACTATTAGTATCACTATCATCAAAAGAAACAATGATGTTATTAATAATTATACTTTAATATTATTATTATTAATAATACCAACAATAAAAAATATTATTATTATAGATATTATTATTATTTTATTATTTTATTTATTATTAATTTATAACAAATTATTATGAATATTATTAATAATAATATTATTAATAATATTATACTTTAGAAAGTATAATAATAAATATAACATTATTAAAAACGATAATAATGACAGCAATTATAAAAATAATAATAATAATACTAATAATAGTAATACTAATAATAATAATTATTATTATTATTATTGTATTATAAATTACTATTATTATTTTAAAAATAATACATAATAATGATGATGATGATGATGATGATGATGATAATAGTAATAATAATAATAATAATAATAATAATAATAATAATAATTTTTTAAATATAATTTATTATCATTTTATTATAAATTACTATTATTATTAAAATCAAAGTAATACATAATAATAATAATAATAATAATAATAATACTTTATTTTAATAATAAAAACTATAAAAACCACAGCAGCAACAACAAATAAATAAATTCTTATTATTAATGTAAATTGCTCAACTAGATTTGGTTTCAAAACAAGAATTTAAAATTGTAAAATTTGCTACACTTAAAAAAAACATTTCTAAGCATAATAGTTTTAATAACTTATTACTAATAACTGATTTATTTTATCTTTGCCATGATGACAGTAAATAATATTTGACTAGATATTTTTCAAGACACCTCTATACAGCTTTAAGTGACATTTAAAGGCTTAATTAGGTTAATAGGTTAACGATTCAGGTTAGGGTAATTAGGCAAGTTATTGTATATCGATGGTTTGTTCTGTATATTATCAAAAAAAAAATTAGCTTAAAGGGGCTAATAATTTTGTCCTTAAAATGTTAAAAATTAAAAACTGCTTTTATTCTAGCCGAAATAAAACAAATAATACTTTCTCCATAAGAAAAAATATAATCCAAAATACTAAGAAGATTTCCTTGCTTTGTTAAACATCATTTGAGAAATATTTAAAAAAGAAGAAAACTATTCGAAGGAGGCTAATAATTCTGACCAACTGTTATTTTCATTAATTTATGATCACAAGGACGCATCAAAATGTTTCTAAAAGTTGACATATTTTCTGTGAAAAAACCGGCTGTAACTCTCATGTCCCAATACATCAGTGATGCAAATCACTTCATGCATAAATTAAAAACCCTTTATATACACTAAACCAATCAATCCCTCCTTTTCTTTGTTGCTGAAGTCATTTATTGCTGAAAATCCAGAGGGGTTTGAAGAGAACAGATTGAAAGCACAAAAGCAGCAGAGTTAAAATTACCTTCACGAGAATATAAAAAAAGAAAGAAGCCGGAGCTGCTGTGGAGGCCGTTTACATGTAAGAGAGGCTGATTTTGCCTGTGAATCTTATTGTAATTATCTGCATATTTAGTGTCAGCTCCTTTGGGGCTTGTCGATATGGGACGAGACTCTGGAAATAAAAAATAAATGCCTGGAAGAAATGGTCAAAAGCTTTTTCTACTGCACTACAGGAGACGATGACAACTGCAAATAGCCTTTAAATATTAATGCACTCGGAGAGGAGGAATAATCAAACCTGGACGAGCAGACAGTCGGTCAAGAGGAAACAAGTAAAAGAAAGACACTAAAAGTGTGTGAGAATGATTTGCTCTGGTACTCATTGTGTGTGTATATGTGAGTAATAATTCAGCCGAAATAAAATTCATTTCTTACTATTTTCCAATCTTGTCATTCATTTATTTTCTTGTCGGCTTAGTCCCTTTATTAATCCGGGGTCGCCACAGCGGAATGAGCCGCCAACTTATCCAGCAATTTTTTTTTACGCAGCAGATGCCCTTCCAGCTGCAACCCATCTCTGGGAAACATCCGCACACAAATTCACACACAAACACTCTTACACTACGGACAATTTAGCCTACCCAATTCACCTGTACCGCATGTCTTTGGACTGTGGGGGAAACCGGAGCACCCGGAGGAAACCCACGCAAACACAGGGAGAACATGCAAACTCCACACAGAAATGCCAACTGACCCAGCCGAGGATCAAACACCAGCGACCCAGCGACTTTCTTGCTGTGAGGGGGGTGTCCTGAAAAGGTGATTTAAGTGTTTGTTTGGGAGCAACGGACCGATCTGCACTGTGGGTTCTCTTGCTGGATCGTTTGCGGAGGGGTTTTCTGCTTGTATCTCCTGGCGGCGACCAGAACTTATGCAGAGTTGTTGACTAAAAATCTTGGGTTGCCTGCATGTTGTCTCCGTGAGTGCTATTTTTCTTCTTTCTGCTTCATTCAAGTTTATGATCTTCATCTCAACTCATCGATAACGTTATCCTTCGGAGGCCAAGTCATCTGTCAAGAGCTGAAATCTAGTATTCAAACTAGTTCCCACAAACAATTGCACAACACACTCAGTTTCCTTGTGCGAGTATTGATTTGATTTCCCCTCTTTGTTTTTTGTTGTTGTTGTTTTCAAATTATACAATCTTTAGATTGTAACAATCTTACAATCTTTAATCTTTATTTAGTGCAAAGTCATTTGTTTAGTGCAAAGTCATAAATACTATTTTTTTGTTTTTGTTTCTGAGGTGCATTGGTGTATGCTAAAACTGCTGTGGGAAAGATTTTTTTTAAGAGTCACGTGGCCGAGTGGGTACCCCGACACAAAGAGACCAGGGTTCGAATCCCGCCTCGGCATTCTTTATTTATTTATTTTTTTCGTTGTTTACAAGAAAATAATTATTTTTATTTTTGCCACTGTTAAAATAGGCTATATGTCATCATATTTATATATAAACTCTTTTATATATACATTTTGAAATATATGTTGCATGTATAAATGACTAATTAGCATTTTTTCTTTGAAATCTAAACATTAACTTGTATTTTAAATATACGAATTGGATTTACATATTTAAATTAGAAAATAGATCTGCTCGCTGCGTGTTAGAGAAGGCTTTGTGTGTCAGAAAAGCAAGTGATTAAACTATACCTGTCAACAATGGGATGTAAACATACAGGATATGTCCCCAACAACTGTTACAAATACAGGGAGCAAATTAGCTTCAAATGATAGAATACGTTAGAAAATTGAAAATAAAATAAAAGGTTTAGTCTATTAAAATCCATTTACTGATCACATTGGTGTTAGCGTACGCATTAAAGGGCTAAAAGCGCGTTCATTTTTTAACTTTAATTATTCAGCGATTCCTCTGCGAACCACTAGAAGGAAGTCTGCGTACACAATGTTTTGAGAACCACTGATTTAATATATCAATTTCAGGTGTTGATTAGAAAAAAAACTCCTTTTAATATGGAAAATATACATTCAATCGGCTGCCGTTGCTTTTAGTTAGAACGCAGTTTAAATCACTCACTCCTGGGGTCCGTTCTTCGTACCTCGCTTAAATGATCTAAGATTATTTGGCAGATCCCGGATCTTTTAATCTTGACAACTGATCTCTCGCTAATTTGGTTCTTCAAACAAGTTTGCGAATCAGATTAGAATGTCTGGATAAACTGATCTGAGATCGATGCGTGTGTTGTGAAGGACAGATCTATCCATCCTCGAAATCATGATCAGCAATGCAACGATTGGCTGACGGCACAGCAGCGTAATGACATCATCTGATTAATATTCAATTATCCATGTGAGCAAAATTACATCAAATTAGCAGTAAACGGCTTGTTAAATATGACACGCAGTAACCTTTCACATTTGTTGTGAGCTGCAGGCTTTACACTTTCATGTGTCAAGTGTATTCATCATGTATTTCAATGAATATCAATGTATTTAGTTCTACATTTAGAAAAGATTTCCTTTATTATAGTAGCCGTTTTTTTTATTATTATTTTTTAGGGGTTTTTCACCTTTTTATTTTGGTAGGATAGTAGAGAATTCAGACAGGAAAGCACTGGGAGCAGAGAGAGGGAAAAGATCGGCAAAGATCCTCG